CGTCGGTCTGCAGGGGCATCCCTGGCGGGTTAGGGGGAAAGGCCGTCCATAGAAATCACGCCTGGGGGGAAATCACGCGCGGGAGAGCGAAAGGGACACGTGGAACGCAAACGCAGCGCGCGTGGGCAGCGAAACAGCAAGAATTAGGGGGAAAATAGGTCCAAGTTAGAGGAAAAACGCATCCCGAGTGGTCAACGGCCTGTCCTGGAGCTCCTGGGAAGGAGCCCTGCCCACAGCTGAGCTTGGCTATAGCCCTGAGCAAACCCCTACATTAACATATCATTAACATATCCACGTGCGATTACCATACTATAATGCCCACCCGCGGGCTGGGGGGCCCTGCCAACAAGAAGCCCCCTGAGCAGGCGTGGGGAGCAGCTCAAGCGCTGCCACCTCGAAAGGGGAACGAGGGACTCGTCGCCCCGTCGTGTCCAGTGATGGGATGTGACTCCTTATTTTTCACATTTTGGGGCATAAAAGCAGCGCTTGGCGTTTCAGGGAACTGACCTCGCTGCGTGGAACACCCCCCTGCTCCCTTTGCTGTGCAGAACAGGGTATCAAAGCCAATCCCTTGGTTCTGTGTGTGCAGCAGCTTCTCGCACGCAGGGTGAGGGGCCCCGGTGTCCGGGCAGCACCCGGGAGCTGCTGGCAGGGTAACAGGGGCAGCTTCTTCACGGGAAGGGCTGCCAGGGCCTGGCACAGGCTGCCCAGGGCAGTGGTGGACTCAGAGACGTGTAAAAGCCACGTAGCTGTGGTGCTGGGGGACGTGGTTTAACGGTGGGCCCGGCAGTGCTGGGTGAGCGGTTGGACCCGGTGATCTTAAACAGCCTTTTCCAACCCAAACACTCCTAGGGTTTTCCAGCTGGGAAGAGGGAGGCCTCGCTCCCACAGCACCCCAGCCATGGATCCTCAGGGCTGCTTCAGCACCGGGTGGACATTAAGCTGCCCAGAGGAGCCGCTCGGGTGTTTTTGGGGCTAAAACAAGCAAACTGTGAGAGGGGAGCGGGAGCTG